TGGCCATGCATCTTCTCTCCCATATAGCATTTGCGCGACGACTGGCATGTCTGCATATATTGGCACTAGCACAATATTATCTCGAGTGAGTTTGTAGTAGACCTCAATCACTTTGGGAGAGAACATTATCCATTTGTCTCGAATCCATGTCTGATGCATGTGCTCAGTTCACAGTGTCCAAATCTGCATTAAAATTGGCGTAGAACTCCTGCACCAAAGTAGGGTAAACCTTCTGAGGTTCGCTTGCAACTTTCTCCCAACCTGCTAACCGAATTAACCGAGTCAATGCAAACCTCCCAAAGTCTTCCAATATTACTTGGCATTCTGGCCAAACTTTCCATCTTGAGACCACGTTGTCAAATTTGGCTTTATGCTCAATTGTTAGAAACCTTTTCATACCCCCTTCATCAAGTCATGTTCGGGCTGTGCTAGAAGATCTTGTGACCTTTTCCTTGCCTTTGGAGGTGGAAGGAGCAGTCTTTCGCTTTGGGGTCATATCTGTCAACACATTGGAAAAAACACAATTAGTAATATGAAATAGTAAAACAAATATGAAGGAGCAACATAGGTTGGTGTTTGGTAGCCCTCATGCTCCATGAAATCCCCCCAAGATGAAGAGTGCAACAATACAAAGTTAGGTGAAAATTTGTTGAAGCAGGGGAGATTGTTGAGATAGAGGTACCGGTTTATGATGTTTTTTGTGTGGAAAATGAGGGCCTGCATTAGGTTTTAAAAACCCAACCAACGAGCAGTCGCGCGTGAGCCCGACTATGTTAGTCACACGCGGGGCTGGGGCGTTTTAGCCCCTGCTCGTTTTGAGAGTGGCCTCGCACATTTGAGGCCACAAGCTGGAGCTCGTGCACTAGCTTAAATTGGTTTTTTTTTTTAAACATACGCTCAACACACAAAATAACAGAAAAATTAAATTAGGCATATAGACAATTTCTCTTTTCCACCCCCAAACTTAGAATAAAATTAAAAAATATATATCATCAATGTGAAATTAGAATAAAGGAGGGAAAACTTTCCTAAATTATTTGAATTGCCAGTGACAATTTGGTACAATCATGCTGAATGTGAATTGACATTCCTTGAACCTTTCTCCAAACATGAGGTTTGCTTCATTTTCTTACTTTTACCGTTGGTTTGAGTATTCTGTGATGTAAAGTTCCTACATATAAAATTGTAAATGTTGAATACCTGGAACAAATGTTACTTAGCTCGAAAATATAACAACCAACTGAAGTACTATGAGATCTTAGGGCTATGGATCATGGTTCCTAAATACTATAAAATAAACTGAACTATCATAAATTAAAATAATAATAAGAAGAAAATAAATAAAATAAATAAAAGGGAAGAAAGCTTGGGTTGCCTCCCAAGAAACGCTTCTTTTATGTCTTTAGTTGGACGTGGATATGGATTTAAGTGGGTTCTTTGAGGATAGTTTCTTCCACATCTCGGTTCTCCCCTCCATAGAAATGCTTAAGGCATTGTCCATTTGCTAGGAAGGTAGACCCATCCTTGCTCACTAGCTCCATTGCACCATAAGGGAATACCTTACGAATCATAAACGGTCTCGACCACTGTGATTTAAGCTTGTCCAGAAAGAGTCTCAAACGAGAGTTAAATAAAAGGACTTGTTCTTCTGGCTTGAATTCCCTCCTTAAGATTCTCTTTTCATGCCACATTTTTGTTCGTTCCTTGTATATTTTTGCATTTTTTTAGGCATCATTCTGAAATTCCTCTAATTCATCTAGCTGCAATAAGCGTTGTAACCCGACCAATTTCATATCCAAATTCAACTTCTTCACAGTCCAGTAAGCTCTATACTCCAATTTCACCAGTAGATGACAAGCTTTTTTGAATACCAGACGATAGGGTGACATTCCAATTGGTGTTTTAAAGGCAGTTTAGTATGCTCAAAGAGCATCATTTAGTTTGAGGGACCAGTCCTTACGGTTAGTATTGACTGTCTTTTCCAAAATCTCCTTAATTTCTCTGTTGGATACCTCTGTTTGCCCATTTGATTGTGAGTGATAACCAAGTGCCAATTTGTGCTTGACATCGTATTTAGCCAAAAGAGAATCGATCAACTTATTGCAAAAATGTGTACATTCATCACTTACTATCGCCCTAGGCGTGCCAAAACGAGTGAAGATATGTTTATGTAGAAACTTCAAAACTATCTTTGCATCATTTATTGGTGTGGCAATGGCTTCAACCCATTTGGATACATAGTCCACTGCAAGAAGTATGTATACCTGACCGAAGAATGGCGAAAACAGACCCATGAAGTCTATACCCCATACGTCAAATAACTTCACCTCAAGCATATTAGTTAGTAACAGCTCATGATGTCTTGAAATGTTTCCAGTACACTGACAATCATCACATATCTTCACAAAAGCATAACAATCTTTGAACAGGTTTGGCCAATATAATCCAGATTGTAACACTTTGGAAGTCGTGCGTGTAGGACCGAAATGACCTCCATAAGGTAAGGAATGACAACGCTCCATAATAATTCGTGTCTCTTCCATAGGGACACATCGCCTGATTATTCTATCCACGTACCTCTTGAAGAGTATCGGATCATCCCATAAATATGACTTGACATCGTGTAGGAATTTCTTCTTTAGATGGGAGGTCCAGTCAGGTGGCAATCTTCTAGATACCAAATAGTTAACAAAATCAGCATACCATAGGATCTTTGATGACACCGCTAACAAGAACTCGTCAGGAAAAGTCTCTCAAATTTGACTCTCAGCCACCACCTTTTCATTCTCTAATCATGAGAGATGATCTGCAACGATATTCTCACTACATTTCTTATCTCGAATCTCTATATCAAACTCTGGTAGTAGTAGTACCCATCGAATTAGACGTGGCTTGGCATCTTTTTTCTCAAATAGATATCGAATTGTAGCATGTCAGTGTAAATGATCATTTTGGTTCCAATGAGATAGGATCTGAATTTGTCTGGATCTGAATTTGTCACATACAAAAACTACCGCTAACATCTCCTTTTCTGTTGTGTAGTTTAGTTGAGCTCAATTAAGGGTTTTTCTAGCATAGTGGATTGCCTAGAATATCTTATCACGCCTTTGTCCTAAAATCGCCCCTACTGAATAGTCACTAGCATCACACATAACTTCAAACGGCTGATCCCAAGTGGTATACCATCACTGGAGCAGTAACTAGTTTTTCCTTTATTGTTTCAAATGCCTTTAAGCAGTTTTTATCAAACACGAATGTTGTGTCCTTCCCCAACAGGTTGCATAAGGGTTTAGCTACTTTTGAGAAGTTTTGGATAAATCTCCTATAGAATCCAGCGTGACCCAAAAAACTTCAAATGCCCTTGACATTGGTGGGTGGTGGTAGCTTTGCTATTGTATCAATTTTTGCCCTGCCAACTTCAAGCCCTTTTGCTAAAACATGGTGGCCTAGCACAATTCATTCTTGTACCATGAAGTGGCATTTTTCCCAATTAAGAACCAAGTTCTTTTCCTTACAGCGTTGCAACACTAACGAGAGATTATGCAGACAGTTATCAAAAGAAGTGCAAACACAGAAAAATCATCCATAAATACCTCCATGATGTCCTCCACCATGTCTGTAAAAATCACCATCATGCATTTTTGAAAAGTAGCCGGTGCATTGCATAGTCCAAATGGCATCCGTCTGTAGGCAAAAGTTCTATAAGGGCAGGTGAATATTGTCTTTTCCTGATCTTCTGGTGCTATTGCAATTTGATTGTAGTCCGAGTACCCATCAAGGAAACAATAGTGAGAGTAGCCCGCTAATCTATCCAACATTTGATCAATGAACGGGAAAAGAAAATGGTCCTTTCTAGTTGCTTTGTTCAGCTTCCTGTAATCAATACATACCCTCCAGTCAGTTATTGTTCTTGTTGGAATTAGCTCATTATTATCGTTCTTAACTACTTTCATCCCACCTTTCTTTGCTACTACCTGTACTGGACTAACCCATTCACTATCTGAAATAGCAAATATAATCCCCGTCTTTAGTAGCTTTAATATCTCCGCTCGAACTACTTTCATGGTTGGGTTTAACATTCTCTAATGTTCAATGGATGGCTTGTATAAATCTTCCGCGAGAATTTTATGCTTGCAAATTGTAGGACTTATTCCCTTGATGTCAGCTATAGACCATCCCAAAGTAGCCTTGTGTTCCCTTAACACTTTCAATAATCTGTCTTCTTCATCCCTTGTGAGTGATGAAGAAATGATAACTGGAGATTTAGAATTGTCCTCCAAGAATGTATAGCGAAGGTGATTTGGTAATTGCTTCAATTCAATTTTGCTGCTTACATTACTCTCTTTATCATCTGATCCCACTAACTGCTTAATATCTTTGCACTACGATGGGTTGTCCTCAATTGGTGCAGATTCAAGAGCCAATATGCAATCAACTAAATCCTTGCTTCCTGTGTACCTTTCAAAAGTTTTTACGTCATCATTTGTTGCACTGAAAATATACACTATTCCAAGGGGTCTTCAATGCATAATTGTTCTTTTCTCACAGCAGAATCAATGAAGTCAATTATATGGCAAGTGTCAGTGTCATCTGCGTACTTCATTGCTTGGTAAATGTTGAATCTCGCTTCTTCTTCATTCACTCTTAATGTTAGATGCCCTTCTTGTACATTAATCAATGCTCTTCTTGTTGCTAAAAATGGCCTACCTAAGATCAATGGGTTTTTCTGATCTTCTTCCATATCTAATACAACAAAATCAGCTGGGAAGATAAATTTGTCGACCTTTACTAACACGTCTTCAATAATCCCTCGGGGGTATGTGAGGGATCTATCAGCTACTTGTGGAATCACTGTTGTTGGCTTGACTTCCTCAAGGCCTAACTTTTTGAACACTGATAAAGGCATCAGGTTGATGCTTGCTCCAAGATCACAGAGGGCTTTGTCAAAAGAGGAGTTTTCAATGGTGCAAGGAATAGTGAAACTGCCTATATCTTTTCTCTTTTGGGGAAGTTTCTTTTAAAGGATAGCACTGCATTCTTCTTTCAATTTTACTGTTTCATACTCCTCTAACTTCCGTTTCTTTGATATCACTTCCTTCATAAACTTCGCGTAGTTCGACATTTGTTCCAAAACATCTGCAAAAAGAATATTAATGTGAATTTTCTTGAAGATTTCCAAAAATTTAGCAAATTGATCATCAAATTTTTTCTTTTGAAAACATTGTGGGAATGGAAGTGCTGGTTTGATGACTGGTGGGTTGTCAGGGAATAATATGGAATACGGTCTGTGAGCCTTTTGTGTTCCCTTGGCCTGATTTTCTTGCTTTGCAGCTACTTGTTCTTTTTCCTTGTCAGGTGTGGAAATGCTTTAATCTGTGGGTCCGATTCCTCCAGCTTGCTTGCCACTCCTCAATACAATAGCTTTACAGTGTTCTTTCGAGTTGACTTCCGTATCACTTGGAAATTTTCCCTATTGCTGACATTTCATTGATGTAACCAACTGACCAATTTGAACTTCAAGATTCTTCATCGTAGCTCCCATATTGGACACGTGTTTCGATGTTGTCTAAACATGACTCATCCTTGTTGAAGTGCGATCTTGTTTCAAAGATAAAGGTCCCAAGGATGGCTTCCCTTCAGAATTCTGAGTGTTGAATCCAGGTGAAGGTTGAAGTGTGTTTCTGTAGTTGCCATAAGATAGATTTTCATGATTTCTCAACCCAGGATGATAGTGATTAGAAGGGTAGTTTCCTCTTTGATTGTAGTTCCTGTTGTTGACATATTGAGCTTGCTCATTTGCTATCTCTATTCCCTGGGGTGATGAAGAGGCAGCAATAATTGAATCTACTTTCTGTTGGTTTCCTTGAGTGGTAAGTGTTGCTATCTGATTTGTGAGTGATGAAACCTGAGCTGCTAATGCTGTGATGGGAAGTCATGTTACTCTCTTTACACTTGACCTCTCGCTTGGCCATTGGTAACTATTTGTGGCTATGTCATCCAATAAGGAGTATGCTACATCTGCTGTTTTAGCCATTAAAGTCCCTCTCGCAACTGCATCTACTACAGTTCTTGTCTACCCATTTAATCCATTGTAGAATATTTCAATCTGCATCTAGCTTCGAAATCCATGTTGAGGACATCTTCTAAGGAGGTCTTTGAATCTTTCCCAAGCTTCAAAAAATGGTTCGAAGTCAAGTTGTCGAAACTGACCAATTTCACTTCGAAGTTGAGTTGATTTGGACAGTGGAAAGTACTTGTTAAGAAATTTCTGAGCCAAGTCATCCCAAGTTGTGATTGACCCGTATGGTAATGACTGGAACCAGGCTTTTGCCTTATCCCTCAAGGAGAAAGAGAGTAGACGGAGTTTGATTACGTCTTCAGTAACCCCGTTCATTTTCACCGTACCACAAATTTCCAGAAATGAGCCCAGGAGAGCATTTGGGTCCTCTGTTGGACCTTCTCCAAATTGATTTTGCTGCACCATATGTATAAGTCCTAGCTTAAACTCGAAATTTTTTTGCAGCAATAGCTGGGCGTGTGATGCCGGAGTAATTATCATTGACAAGGGATCTGACGTAGTCACGAATAGCTCCTTATTGATTATCTTCATTAGCTGCTCTTGCCTCCTGTTTTGCCATAATTTCACGTTCGCCTCTCTGTATACCCCTTAGAAAGTGGAATGTACGTTCTTGTTCAGGATCAATAGGTAGTAAGTCAAGATTTCTCGCTCTTCGCATAAACAGCTGAAAATAAAAACAAATGAGCTATTAGAAATAAACACAAGTAAAATAAATAAATAAAAATTAAAATTAAAGTTAAGATAGAAATTCCAATTAAAATGAAAGCCAATTGGTAATAATATCAATCGAATTCAAATGAATCAATCCCCGGCAACGGCGCCAAAAACTTGGCACGTGTTTTATGTAAGGTGATTTTATCGCACGTGTACGGTGTTAAATTTTGTAGTATATTGATTAAATAAAAAGTGTCGAACCCACAGGAAATGATAATTGAATCCTATGGAGTACTATAATGATTTTGACTTTTCACTTTATTTAGACAATCAAATGTTAAATGGATGATTTTATATTAAACTAAAATATCTGGATTAAAGAGTGCAAGTAAAGTGGAGCAATCTCTAAAAATTTTATCAAATGTACGAATGCCTAGGGAATGATTTCAACATATTCTTAACGATGTTTTTCAATCTCTATAGCTATTTCCATCAATTCCTTTCCTAATTTATAGGGAAGAATCCTAAATTAATTTTATTCCCTCTCTCGAGCGCCAAATAGAATTTATCTCTATATTTTAACCCCCAATATCTCTATTCTGAATTAAAAATATAGAAATTATCAAACATCTGATTCTTGAAATGAATTGGCCTCAAAGATTCGTACTTTCTCTCGAAACCTACGAATTCTAGGTTATGTCATTCTTTAAATCACGCCTAAATTTCTCTCTCTCTCGAGCAACAAACTTAAAGCATTAAATCATTTAATTATTGATCAGACAATTGAAAGTATTAAGCAAGAACAACATAAATAAATTTCAGGAAAATCAAAGGAAATAACTGTATTGGAATCAAAACATGTCTCAAATAGGTTACGTCAAGCCCTAGATCTCAAAAACTAATTGTGTTACGTGAATTCTTCCCCCAATTGTCATCAATCTTCTTGCAATTATTCTTGATTTTTGCCTCTTAGATTTTCTCTCCTTGCAAGCTTCTTTTTTGTTGTCCAGAAGAAAAAGGAGGCGTTCTGGTCGTCGCCCTACATTAAATAGTATGATGAATTTTGTTTCCATAAGGGTTTGTGTCAAAAAAGAAATCTGCCCGCACAAGGGGTATATTTTCTTGCGTGCGCACCGCCTATTGGTTCTACGTTCTGCTTATGAAATTCAACCCCTTGCGCGCGCGCCGTTATGAAATTTTTCCATGTATTACACTTTGGTCCCTATACTTCATTCTTCGTTCCTCGTTCCTTTTGATCCATATCTGACATCTTCTAACACCATTTAATTGCCTCGTGCTCTTCTTCAATCATTAACATCATGTTCAAATCAACTTTTGATTAGGCCCAAGTTAGCAAATTTCCTGCTCTTCTGTCCAATTTCATTGTTTTGCCTCGAGTTACACCTAACAAACGAAATATGTATGAAATTAAGCGTCAATTCATCCTAAATAACAAAAATTACTCTAATTTAATGAATAAAATAAGTGTATAAAATACATTTATCAGTGTCCATTAAAATAATCATTTAACAACCTCTTGTTTGTCAGAATACGGGTCATCGCTGCTTCTTTGCCCGTACATCTCAATCCGATTTGAGGGCAAACTCGAACATGGCAAATGTAGCAAGCGTGCCCTCAAAATCAAAGTAGAGGGCATCTCCGTTAACTAGTTTAAGCAGTCGACATAGTAATGAATTGAGCAATAGCCCAGAAAACTGTACAAAGCGCAATGAATACAGGGGTCATAAGCAAGATCGACGTAATATCTCCACGTGCTCCTCGTCCAACGAATCCAATACTAATGTAAAGCTAGCAAAGTTACAGTTTGACGTAACTTTTCCAGGAATCTATCTCATGGCGACGTCCAAATGGCAATCCATCCTGTAAAATTTCAAATGTTAGAACATTGTTAATTGAAAATGAATAAAACGTAATATTACAAAATTTAAACTAACCGAACTGTAACTAATATACACAAGAAAGAATAGATAATGAAATAAAGAAAATGAGCGTAATTAAATATTGAACAACAAATTATAAAAAGCGAAAAAATAATTTTTGTAAAATTATTTATTTTAATTGTTTAATAGTTTATTTAACATTTATTTTAATTGTTTATTACATGTTCATTCTTTATTATTTATTTCAATTGTTTATTTGCTTTAATTATTTATTGAACATTTAAACATTTATTTAAATTATTTTTTAAATTGTTTAGTTGTTTATTTAACATTTATTTTAATTGTTTATTGAATGCTTAATTTTTTATTATTTGTTTCAATTGTTTGTTTAAATTATTTGTTTTAATTATTTATATTTATTGGTTATTTAAATTATTTATTAAACATTTAAACATAAATATTTAATTATTGATTTTAAATGTTAGATATTTATTTTAATTTTTTTTAAATTTTAATTACTTATTTAAATTACTTATTTTGATTATTTATGTTTATTTATTATTTAAATTATTTATTTATATTATGATTATTGTTTGATTGAAATTGTTTATTTATAATGTTCATTATTTATTTCAATTGTTTATTTCAATTATCTATTTTAATTGTTTAATTGTTTACTTAACATTTATTTTAATTGTTTATTGAATGCTTAATTTTTATTATTTATTGCAATTGTTTATTTAAATTATTTGTTTTAATTATTTATATTTATTGGTTATTTAAATTATTTATTGAACATTTAATCGTAAATATTTAATTATTTATTTTATTTGATAAGTTGTTTATTTAATATTTATTTTACTTCTTAATTGAATATTTCATTGTTTATTTTAAATGTTAGACATTTATTTCAATTTTTTATTTAAATTTTAATTACTTATTTTTATTTTTGATATTTATTTGTTATTTAAATTATTTATTTATTATTTAAATGTTCATTATTTATTTCAATTGTTTATATTTTAAATAAAACAAAATTAAAAAACAGTTCAATTAAATTAAAAAAAGGGCCAGTTCCAGACGGCCCAGGGTTTGGGCGGCCTGGACACCACCTGCTTCGTTACAGGCTGCAATGGCGATCTCCGCCACCATAAACACCAATAAACAAGAAACCCCATTAATTATTTATGTTGCGATCTCCGCCCACATAAATACCAATAAACAAGAAAATCTATTAATTATTTATGTTCTACAACTATTTTTTAACTGAATTTTCAACAAATAAACCCTAAACAATTCAAGAAATCCATTATTAATGGCAACAAGTAGACAAGAGTTTCAAAGCTTACGTTCTTCGCATAAATGGAGAGCTCCGATTTGGGTCGTCGGTTTTCCTTGCTTACAAGCGGCGGTTTTGCTACATGAACTTCCTCTTTTTTCACTCTTTAGGTCGATGTGAGGACAAAAATAGATTTTCATTGTTTTCATTGGTTTTAATGGTTTTTCGTTTTCTTTTTACAATCAACGACCATTTTGGAAAATTGTAATGGTCAAGAAGCCATCTACCCCTATTTCCTCCAACAAATGCAAAGAGGGATGGGGAAACGGCAAGTGGCACCACCCCACCCCACTCCACCTCACCAATAATCAATCGGGCACCTACCAATAAAGATAATACAAGTGGTATAGATGGCGACAAGAATATTGATGAGCCTTAGACTCGAAGAGGAATTAGATCCCATCAACCCAAACAAGTCCTTTTATTTAATTGCATATATTTGGGTTTTTAGTTAGGCAATAGCACCCTTTCTGCAATACTGATAAAAAAGAAATTGTATGAACCCTTTTTATGAACCAAAGTTGGGCCACTTCAATGGATGGAAAAGGAAAAGAAAAAGGTCAAGAGGAAAACAAAAGAAGGTACAAACTTCTGTACATTCAACGTGGGAGATTGGGTGCTCATCTGATCAAAATAGTAACCAGTCTATTCAATGTAATTTCTTGTTGATCCAAGTCATATACTTCAACCGAAAAATATAAAAGGTAAGGATCAAAAATTCGAATAGAGATTCGACTGGGGTTAAAATATTTAATAAATAGATGAAAATAAATATTTTGGAAGATAACTAATTGGGTTTGGTGGAGAACCAGACAATTCGGAGGTCATCTTAATGATTTCCAAATTTTCGAGTTTTACCTATAATCAGACCAGTTTTTAGACTATTACCTTATTTTTCAAGTTGATTAGGCCACTCCCGTCTAGTCTTGACAATACTGTTACAAGTCTCGTAAATATACCTCTCAGCAATGCATTAGAGTGTAGAGCTTAAGGATAGTACTCATCCGCTCATGTACCAAACATGTCTCCATAATCATGAAAACACGTTTGAAATGAAACCGTTTTGCTTTACTGTCAAGCAATATTCCTTGAATAACAATTCCCTAGATGTGATCGAGGAATTCAAGTAAGGCACGAAAGCACCAAGAATTCAAAAATTCAACTGATAAAAGATTGCACCGGCCAAAATTTCTATTCACATGTCCCTTTCTGGCAGTTAAAAAGTGCTCCTCAAGTCCCGCTAAATCATAATTATAATAAGATCATGACCAAAATTAGCTAGCCGCCGGCCCCACGGCCAACCATGGAGGAGACTGGCCAGTCAAAGATTGATAGCCCATTTAGAAGATGTGTGCGTGTTTGATGACATCGTTTCTCTACTATACTACGTTTCCAGCTCGATGTCACTTTGCTATTTGACCCTTATCTACATTTACTAAGATCCTTCAACTTGTAGGAAAAAAATAAAAATAAAAGCCAAAAGCGAATCTTGATTCTCATATTGAAGGACAAATACAGCTCATGTATTAATAGAGATAAATTAAAAGGCCAGTTGACTGATGGGAGTAATTAGAAGAAGGCATTTAGTTCTGTACATGATTCAAACACTAATTCAGCTTTCATCAGTCCAACCCTGTCGAACCTAATTCATAACAAATGAACATAACACGAACATATAAGGCATATATACAGACGCTAAGTGCATGTCTAGCATGCAGTAGGAGATAAGATTAGACAATACAATGAACACTTTTACTTCCAAACTATCGTCCAGTGTTATCTATTCTAACTTATCAAACATGCCGTAAAGAAATAGATGCATGTGACAAACTTTGGACGAGAGGATCTGGATCAAAGTCAGTTGCCATAGAGGGATTCGGAATTTACAGAGGTCGTGCATTACCCTCAGAGCTTCACGAGTAGGATCTAACCAAGCCAAAGTTGCAGAAGGATCGGGATTTGAAGAGGCCGCTAAAGAGGAACCTGGTCGGAGATTCATGGGGAACTTGATTCAACTCTTCCGGGCAGCCCTTTACTTGGAGTATAGTCTGCCCAATTGTTCGCCGAATAGAATCTATGATCTTTGGATCAACCGGATATCCAGATGTATCACGAACATAGAATGTATTAACGGCTTTGCCATCTTTTGTTGTCACTTCAGCTCGAGATACAGTAAGGCTATTTTCTCGGAAGATTCGAGTTACATCAGACAGTAGCCCGACTCTATCAGCTGTGCACAATTCTAACTTCAACCCCTGATGAGAAAAGAAACAAATTCCATTGAAATTCCTGCTCGAAGCCACTATCGGAACATAGAAAACTAAGCAAAATGCCGCAAATAAAATCAATCAGACATAATAGGTCATCATTAGATGACATATGCATCTCTAATATGTTTAAGAATCATCTTATGAGAACATAGTGAGACAAAAGTGAAAACAAAACAATCGGCCGACTTGAAAATAACGATTGGAGCCACTAATTTTTTAAACTATATTTCCTTTTTTGTTCTTAAGTGGATCGTATACAAATAAGTACGGTTGCAACTTCCATTCAGAACCATACGAATTTTTTGGATGAAAAATTGCATAGGTTCTTACTTCAGATACTCTTCTTTCGATTGCTGCTTCAAGACACTGAATCACCCTTTCCCTCTCTGCATCTGATTTCACTGGAGATCCATCAACGTGTCTCATACAGTATTCCTTCAAATGCAAACACGAAAGGGGGATCAAGCCCTACTCCCAATCCAGAGAGTGAAAATTAACGAAACGAAAAAATAAAAACACAAAAACACGCGGTTTTGTATATAGTGGTTCACCCTCAGTGTGCACTAAAAGGGATAAGTGAACAATAAAATTTAGCTCCACACAACCGAGCATATGCATATCATATCCATTAAAAAAATCAGATACCAGATATGCTTCCGGCCCCTCGGCATCAACATTTCCATGGAAAACCACATACTGCATGTCTGTCAAAGTGCAGACTATATCAAAGAGAAGTTTTGGCCTATCCTTGCACCGAATGGTGACCACTGAGTAGTCCTTGTCGTGCCAATTAGTAACATTTACATTCGGCCTTTCTTTTTCCTCCATGGCACTTTCACCCATCCCTTCATAGTCTCGGTCCGCAAACATCATCTGGTGAAGCCTTCTCTCAGTATGAGTGACGCCGTGAGATACCACGGTCTTAGCTTCCCGGGATTTGTTAGTTCCCTTAAGTACATTACATAAAAGGCGCTTAACCATGGCTAGCCTTTCGGGATCAGCAATTGCACCCCCGGTTTCTTCATCAGTTACTTGCATAACAGCTGCTGCTCGGGTATTATGAGTCCACACCTCAGCATTCACCACATTGCATTTGAGGTGGGTGAGAACAGCACTCACTTCTGAAAGCAGTCCCGGTCTATCACTTCCTATTAACTCAATTGCCGTGTGGTCCATTCCGGACATCACCCCGACAGATCGTCTCATAGAAGATGCAAAGCAAGAATCGGGACCAAGTGACTGCAAACGAATACAAAAATATCATTTTTTTTTGCAAATATATGCAAACAGAAAGTTAATAATACTGTGAAATTTAACACATCTCACCTTCTGGATATAATCCAGACTCGCTTCATCTGTTATCTTGTTTCCATCTTTGTCGGTGACATTGAAAACTGCCCGAGAAAAATAAACGGGTTGACAACTATATCCAACAACTACTGGTATATAGATATTTTTACGGGGTATAATATAAATATTATTACCGTCCATGAACCATCCTCCATCAGAACAAATATAAGCTTTAGATATCATAAGATTAAGATCAGTAAGGACTTGTACAACTTCCAAAAGTATTCCATGTTTATTAGCACTGTCCACCTACATAAGAGAACAAGGACAGGATATGAAACTTAAAAATTACAAAAATTTGAAAAATCCCATAAGTCTTGAGATATCTGGAGTAAACTGCAAAAGATATAAACAAGGTGCATACCTGAATAACAGTGGCATTTTTGCAGGATTCATTATCAATTACAACTCTGACAACAAGCGAAATTGGATTAAATAATTGCTATAAAATTGGATCAAATCATACATACATTAGCAGATATAAGAAAATAGGTACCTGGGAGGGTTCATTCTCCTGATGAATTTCTCATATTCATCATCCATATTCTGTGAATAACTTACTGAAGCTTCCGAAAGGGAAAAACAAGAAAAAGCGAAAACTCAGATCAAGCCAATATTAATTTTATCTTTCAGAAAGAGAACCGAATCACCACAACCAATCACAAAGAAGATACTCAAATATAGAGTATAGAAGAAGGCGAAGATAAAATAAAACTGAATAATAAAATAATTTTGAGATTTGAAATAGGGACTAGAAATCTAAAATGACCTCTAGACACCAAGAAAGCCAGCCAACTAAGAAGGCTTAAAACACAAGAAAAAGAAGCTCCCCCCCGACCCGCACTCTGTATATTGTGTGGTCTGGTGGGGCTCTGTGTCTGTGTGGGAACCATAGCCCATCAAACCATTTGAAGACAAAGTGTTAACAGCGCATAACACCCACAAGCGTGAGAAACAAGCACAGATATCAAAACAAATCACAGCCTGGACACAACCCAGAAAAAAAAACAGATCAACAAACTGTACTAACAAACTATGAGCCAAAACTTGAACAAAAAAAAGCCAACAAATTACTCGAGGAGCCAAAAATTGACAGAAAAGTAAAGTGAGAAATAAAAGAAGCAAAAAAATGATACATACCCATTAAAATTTTTGACCTGGACACCAAGATTCTTTTGATTCTCTTTTCTCAATATAGACTCTTTAGTACAGCTCTATGCTATGGCAATTGGCAACCCTTTATATAGATAAAAGTATTTTATAAATAGCCCAACACAGAAAAAGACTCCCTTCTCCCTCCTCAATTTGTATATCTTCTGTTTGTATATATAATGTGTAAATTCTTATTTTAATTTGGAGTTTTTTGAGTATTCTAATTTGAGCTTCTCTTTGGAAAATTGAGGTTTTTTCTACAAAAAAGGAAAGTTCCCAGAAACGAGAAAAGAAGGGAATGGGTTGATTATACTAATATGTAACGGTGGACCGTGGACCCTGTATTTTTTTAGGCTCATAACAGGTGGGGTGTTCTAACGTGCACCGTAAGGATGAATCAGATTTTCACACTGCAGTAATTTTTACAGCCACGTGATGGAAGTGGAACAGTAAAAATCTCCAAGGTTGATGGGAGGGGAGAGAAGAAGAAGAAAGGGACGGGGTTGGGTGGGGTTGGCTTATTTTGCAGATGTCGATGCTGTCCGCACGGGCTTTTCTAATAAGGCGCTAAATCAACTGTTTTCGGTATAATTATTTAATTAATATTGCCTAGAGTAGGCCAATATATATATTTAGAGGTTGAACCCAAACTTTTAGGGCCCCACGGCCCTATTCCTACAACATCATGAGAGAAGTAAATAGCGGGTTGTGCCTCAATAGGTCAGAGAACAAGAGTTTGTCCGTATACTGATGTCCACAAAGAGTCCAATTTCATATTTCAGAAATCGAACCCTCACACTGCGACTGTCAATAAGGCTGAAACTACCTCACTCCTATCTTTTGCACCACTGGATTATACCCAAGGGGGCAAGCCAATATATATATTTAGCCCATGTTTGGTGAGGATTAAAATTTAACTTTAAGTAAGTTTTGATAAAATTTAATGATATGTGTGGTTGAAAACTTACGGTAAAATATATAGTTAAAATTAATTGTTTACTTTAATTTGGATTAAAATTTTAATTTTAATTTTCATCAAACAGGTACTTATTATATTAAAATTATGATATACTTGTTATCCGTGCAGCTTTTTAGGTTAGTTTGAACATTTTTTTAAGAAAAGTTCTCTCGTATTTGATGAAGTATTGAAATCTGGGGGTGTGCCTAATGATAATGATGACCTTACTCGACTAAACATGCGAGTGGATAATGTTGGTGTGGCTGATCGACTAATTCTCATTAAGTGGACCGATCTCAATGTTTTGATGAAGTGCAACCCGTAAGACTCGTTTGGTCAATCGATGTTGCTACAATTCAATCAAGAGTAAGAGACGCTTATCATGTGAAAACTGTACTTTCTACTTCAACAGTCATGTCAAGATTTAATTGTCTAGTTAACGGTATACATCTAAGCATCTATAAATACAGTTCATATCCCCCATTTGAAAACAAGAACAACACAATCATAGAACGATTAGCAGAAGGGGAAAAAAAAGGAATATACCCTCACTTCTTTAAAACCACCACCGGAGATCACAATCACCACCTATGTACAGCAAAATCTGTCATGAGATTGAGACTTTGAACCTAATTCGTATCACTTATAATCCTAATAAAAATAGAAAACTATTTTTTGGTTAATATATAGATAAATAGCCTGATAAAATACGACGTAACAATATTTTTGGAACAATTGTTTAATTTAAATTATACATGCATGCTGAAAGAGCTCCAATCTCTCCAAGGCGGGTTAGTGGCCAACTCGACGAATTTCTAAAGAATTGACTCAAAATGATCAAGAAAAAGAGTTTCATTTGGAATTTACGAGAATAGCTCTGTGAGCTTGAGCTCGAAGGACAGGGGTAGGGGCAAGTCTAGTAGTGTGTTATGTTCTCTATCATCGCTTGCACTTAAACGTTACTTTTTCTTTTTTTGGAGAAGCCCAAGGCTAGCTTTTTTAATAACTATTTTTATATTAGGTTTCAAGCAATTTACTTAAAACGCTAATAATATTTAATATTATATTAGGGAAATATTGATCATCATTATATATAGTTGAAAATATATGATGATTTCAATAAAATGAATATTATTCTTTAGTACTATCATTGACTAGATGATCCTTCCTTTGAATCCAATTAAGCATGAAGAAAGTTGTTTCTTTTGAAAAATTAAACAAAGTATTAAATTACGGAGCTGATAGTTATCGAAAAGTCAAATTTAACACAAAAAATATAAATAAACTCCTTAAAACTTATTAATTTATAAAGATAATATGTCCAAAAAGGCCCATTTCTTTAGAAACTAATGAGCGGCAGCCGCCAGAAGAATTCAGTTTTAATATTCATAGAGAGAGTTGGCCCTGTTCCTATATTAAAGATTTGGGTGCGACCTCACATGAGCATGTCTTCCGGTAAATTGCTGGGTTCATGTCCTTGCCCACATGCGCCTTCTGCTACCTCCATAATTTCTGCTACTCAGTTTTAGGGTTTTCTAATAGTCCTATATTATTATATACACACACACACATCGTTAGTAGGATAGATCATGACTCCCACTCCAGTTTCTGTTTGTTTATATATTTGAGACTGCACGTCTTTGTATTTCCTTCTCTTGATCAGTTTTGGATTCTTTAACTCTCTGAGGATAGGAATTACGTATCATTTGTTGTAGAAATTTTACCGGGTTAAAGTAGAAATCACGAAACACAAGGAATTACATATCATTTGTTGTAGAAATTTTACCGGGTTAAAGTAGAAATCACAAAACACGAACTGGCAACGCGAATAACAAAACAATCACGAACTTTTATTAATAAATGGTTTGAGCACGATATCGTTGTTCTCAAACAATATTTTGCGATGGAAAGCGAGACAACGATGGCAACAATTAAACTCATGAATCAAGACTTAGTGCGATTAGATCGATTCGATGGAACGAATTACACTCGATGGATAGACAAATTGAAGTTTTTTCTCACTGCACTAAAGATCTTCTACACCTAGATCCGAAGTTGGAGCCATTACCGGAACAAAAAAATGGAGAAACCAAAGCGGTGAGGAATGAAAGACAAAAGTGCCAAGAAGATGAGTTGACATGCCGCGGTCACATTCTCAACACATTGTCGGATCGTTTGTATGACTTATATATGAATACAACTTCGACAAAGGAAATTTGGGATGCGCTCAAAAATAAGTACAAAGTAGAAGAAGAATGTACAAAGAAATTTTTAATTTCTAAGTACTTCGATTTTAAATTTTTAGAGAATATTCCCCTTTTTTCCCAAATACATGAAATACAAGTAATTGTCAATAAGTTGAAGGCAGTGAAAATTGAAATACCGGAGGCCTTTCAAGTGGGGCTATAATTGTTAAACTTCTCGGAACTTGGAAAGGATAGTGGAAGAAAATAATGCATTATTTCGAAAATTATTTTTTGGAACAACTACAAAAACATCTTTGGATTGAGGAAGAGTAAAAAATGCGTGATAAAAGTGATTTTCATGAGGGCACTTCCAAAATAAATACTGTATAAAAATCTGAACAGCCAACAAAATCTAACAAAACGAAGCCTTCAAGGAACCTTAATAAGTTCAAGAAGAAGACCAAAGGAGGATGTTTTGTTTGTGGGAAATCTGAACACTACACAAAAGATTGTAGACACCGAAAACACAATAACTCCGAGGGTAAAGTGAATTTCATCCAAGAAGACAAGATTGTGTCCATCGTGAGCGAAATAAATGCAATTAAGGAAAATGTACCCGATTGGTGGTATGATATTTGTGTCACGGCGCATGTATCATTTGACAAATTTTTGTTTAAAATATACAATGAATTGGATGGAGACCAAGAGATCCAAATGGGTAACGAGGTGCGATCCAAAGTAATTGGAAAAGGAAGTGTAGAAATTATCTTTACTTCTGAAAAAAATGTTACTCTCACAAATGTACTACATGTCCAATGTTATGAATATGAACTTAGTGAATGGAAATCTTTTGGAAAAATCGGGCATTAAAAGTGTTTTTGAGTCCGGTAAACTTGTATTATCACTTAGCAGGAAATTTGTTGGAAAGGGCTATTCATGTGAATAAATGGTCAAACTTTGTACTATTGACAATGAAATAAATAAAGTTGATTTTGCTTACATGATTGATTTATTTTCTTTATAGCATGCTAGATTAGGTCACATAGGTAAAAGTACCATGAAACGCGTGAGAAATTGTGACTTAATTTTATATGATGGAAATGATGTTATTAAATGCAAAATATGTGTGGAAGCAAAAATGGTTAAAAAGTCTTATCAAAGCGTTAAGAGGACTTCTAGCATATTAGAATTAATTCATTCCGACACATGTGAATTGAATGACATACTAACAAGAGGTGGAAATAGATATTTCATAACATTTATTGATGATTGCTCTAGATATACATATGTTTATTTGATGAAACATAAACATGAAACCTTTGATTTGTTTAAGACTTATAAGAATGAAATTGAAAATCATTTAAATAAGGATATAAAGACCTTAAGAAATGATAGAGGTAGTGAATACTTTTCTAGTGAATTTAATCTATATTGTGAATAACATGACATAATTCACCAATACTTTGCACCAAAGACACTCGAACAAAACGGTTTGGCTGGAAGAAATAATAGAACCTTAGTATAAATGATTAATGCCATGCTTATATATACTAAGTTACTATTTAATTTATGGGGTGAAACTTTATTAAGTGCATGTAGGATACTTAATAGGATTCCTTCTAAACATACAAAAGTTCCTCCTTATGAATTGTGGAAATGAAGAAAATCGAATATTGGATACTTCAAAGTGTGGGGATATCTTGCTTATTGCAAGAATACAAATCCTAATAGGACCAAATTTGGTCCAAGAGGTATTAAATGTGCTTCTGTTGGATATTCGAATAATAGCAAATCTTATAGATTGCTAAACTTAGAGACCAATGTGATTATCGAATCAAGTGAAGTAGAGTTATTTGAAGATTTGTTATCATTAGATAATGAATTGAAAGAAAATATTAAAAACATTCCTAACTCAAGTGGAACACATGATGAAATGTCTTCTAAAGATGTTGATGAGTCTAATGAACCATGAAGAAGCAAGAGAACTCGAGTTGAGAAGTTTTTGGGATCGGATGAAATTGGTTCTCAACTTATCTCCTTTTATTTAGTATAAGGAAATGAATTGAATGTTGTAAAAACAAGTCATTTTATTTTACAAGTGAAAATCGACCCAAAA